CGGCGTGGTGTTTCTGCCTAGAGCGCCATCTTGCCGGAAGTCCCCTGTTTCATTTTTTTTGCAGATGGACCTCCAATTTTGCCAGCACCATTTCTTAAAAAGACTTTCTTTTCCCCATGTGATGGACTTTGGGCCCTTGTTGATCAGGTGACCGTAGGTGGATGGATTTACACCTGGGTTCTCGATTCTGTTCCATCGGTCAATGTATCTATTGTTGTACCAGTACCAGGCTGTTTTGACTACTGTAGCTGTATAGTAGGTTCTGAGGTCAGGTAGTGTGAGTCCTCCTACTTTATTATTCCTCTTCAATAATGCTTTACTTATCCGGGGCCTCTTCCCTTTCCATATAAAGTTAATGATTATTTTTTCCATCTCTTTAAAGAATGTTGTTGGTATTTGGATCGGGATTGCATTGTATTAGTAGATTGCTTTGGGTAGAATTGTCATTTTCACAATGTTGAGTCTGCCTATCCATGAGCATGGTATGTTTTTCCATTTATGAAGACCTCTTTTGGTTTCTTGCAGTAGTGTTTTGTAGTTTTCTTTGTATAAGTCTTTTACATCCCTGGTTAGATTTATTCCTAAATATTTTATTTTTTAGGGGCTATTATAAATGGTGTTGCTTTCCTGATTTCCTTTTCATTGTTCTCTTTGTTGGTGTATGGGAATCCAACTGATTTTTGTGTGCTCTTCTTGTATCCTGCTACTCTGCCGAATCTTTCTATTAGTTCCAGTAGTTTTCTTGTGGAGTCTTTTGGGTTTTCCATGTATAGTATCATCATCTGCAAATAGGGGCAGTTTTACTTCTTTATTACCAACTTGGATGCCTGTTATTTCTTTTTCTTGCCTTATTGCTCTAGCTAGGACTTACAGCACAATGTTAAACTTAAGAGTGGTGATAAAGGACATCCTTGTCTCGTTCCGGTTCTCAAGGCGAATGTTTTCAGCCTCTCTCCATTTAGAATGATGTTAGCTGTTGGTTTTGCATAGATGCCTTTTATTATACTGAGGAATTTCCCTTCTATACCTATTTTATTGAGAGTCTTTATCAGGAATGGATGTTGGACTTTGTCAAATGCCTTTTCTGCATCGATTGAGATGATCATGTGATTCTTTTCATTTATTTTATTTATGTGGTGGATTACGTTGATTGATTTTCTAATGTTGAACCATCCTTGCATACCTGGTATGAATCCTATGTCGTGGTGTATTATTTTTTTGATATGATGCTGAATTCTATTGGCGAGAATTTTATTTAGAATTTTTGCATCTGTATTCATGAGAGATATTGGTCTGTAATTTCCTTTTTCTGTGGTGTCTTTGCCTGGTTTTGGTATCAGGGTTAGGCTGGCTTCATAGAATGCATTTGGAAGTATCCCTTCCTTTTCTATATTCTGAAATAATTTGAGTAGTACTGGTAAGCTCTTCTCTGAATGTTTGGTAGAATTCTGCAGTGAAGACATCTGGGCCAGGGCTTTTTTTTGTTGGGAGTTTTTAAAATTATCTTTCAGTCTCTTCTCTCATTATGGGTCTGTTCAGATTTTCAACTCAATTTGTGATAGTTGGGTAGGTAGTGTGTTTCTAGAAATTTGTCCATTTCCTCTAGATTTTCAAATTTGTTGGAGTATAGTTTTTTCATAATACTCTGTTATAATCCTTTTTATTTCAGTTGGGTCTGTTGCAGTGCCCCCCATTTCATTTCTTGTTTGGGTTATTTCTGTCATCTCCTGTTTTTCTTTTGTCAGTTTGGCTAGTGGTTTGTCAATCTTTTTGAAGAACCAACTTTTGGTTTTGTTAATTCTTTCTATTGTTCTTCTATTCTCTATTTCATGTATTTCTGCTCTGATCTTTATTATTTCCTTTCTTCTGGTGGCTGTAGGCTTCTTTTGCTGTTCTCTTTCTATTTGTTCTAGTTGTGTAGCTGATGTTTTGATTCTGTCCCTTTCTTCTTTTTTGATGTGTGCATCTATCGCTATAAATTGACCTCTGATCACTGCCTTTGCTGTGTCCCAAAGGTTTTGGTATGATGTGTTTTCATTCTCATTTGATTCTAGGAATTTTTTTATTCCATCTTTGATTTCTTCCATTACCCAGTGGTTCTTAAGCAGGGTGTTATTTAGTTTCCATGTAATTAATTTTTTTCCTTGCTCTTCCTGTTGTTAATTTCTACTTTGATAGTGTTGTGATCAGGGAAGATACTTTGTATTATCTCAGTGTTTTGGGTTTTGTTGAGGGTTGCTTTGTGGCCTAAGATGTGGTCTATTCTGGAGAATGTTCCATGTGCATTGGAAAAGAATGTATACTTTGCAGTTGTTGGGTGGAGTGTTCTATATATGTCTATGAGTTCAAGTTGGCTGATTGTGGCCTTTATATCTTCTGTATCTTTGTTGAGTTTCTTTCTAGACGTTCTGTCCTTTACTGAAAGTGGTGTGTTGAAGTCTCCTACTATTATAGTGGAACTGTCAATTTCTCTTTTCACTGCTGTTAAAGTTTGTTTTATGTATTTTGGAGCATGGTCATTGTGTATGTAGATATTTATTATGGTTATGTCTTCATGCTGGATCATCGCTTTAATCATGATGTAGTGCTCTTTTTTGTCTTTTATGGTGGATTTTGTTTTAAAGTCTATTTTATCTGAGATTAGTATTGCCACCCCTGCTCTTTTTTGGTGGCTGTTTGCTTTATATATTTTTTCCAGCCTTTGATTTTTAATAAATTTATGTCTTTGTGTCTAAGGTGTGTCTCTTGTAGACAGCATATTGATTGATCCTATTTTTAAATCCGTTCTGTCACTCTCTGTCTCTTTATGAGTGCCAATAGGCCATTTACGTTCAGTGTAATTATTGATAGGTGTGAGTTAATTGTTGTCATTTTGTAGTGCTTCTGTTTGTGTTGCTGATGATTTCTTTGTTCCTCTTACTCTCCTGTGCTGAATTCCTTTTGTTTGTGGATTTTTTTTCATTTTTTTTGTTTTTGTAGATTTTGTTTTTACTGAGACTTTATGTTATTCTTTATTTGGTGAGTAGGTTTGTTAACTTTCTTTGTGGTTACCTTGAAATTTACCCTTATCTTCCTAGGTTTGAACCAGTCTATTATTACTTGGTATCACCTTGCCTTCCTCTCCATTAGAAAGTTCTACACCTACACCATTTATTCCCTCTTTTATTGTTCGGATGTTGTTGTCATTTGTAGATTAACCTCTCTGGCTCCCTGTTGTAAATCTAGGTTGTAATAAATTCTTGATGGATTGTGCACACCCATATGGATTTTATGCCTATTGCCAAGAAAACATTTTTATTTCTCATGGCCTGGTTAGAGCACTTGTGCAGTATTTTAGGCCTTTCAAAAAATATATTACTTTTTATGATGATATCAGTATGATGCTTTATGGTTTTTTTAATTTGTACTTGCTCCAAGTTGGTAGCACCTGAGCCTCTGCATTGCCACCTCAGCCTCAGTGTTGGTTGTACCCACTTTCACCATGTTTGCTTGCTTGAGATTCCCTGAGTCCTATCAAGAAATATTTCCTATCTGCTTCTCATGAGCAAAGTTGATGCTCAGGGAAGGCCTCAGCATTCTGGAATCTGGGAAGCTGATTATATTGATGGATGTGATTTTCTATTATTTTTCATCACAGGGTGTTTCTTCTGAGCTCTACTTCAACCCTGGTGGTCTGCTTCTTCCACCCTCCTTGAAAGGGGCTGTTCCTCTCTACAATCCATCTCAGGTTCCTCAGGTAAGAAAGTTTCGAGGTGGAGGGGTTAGGAGCATAGGCTTTGGATGAAGGAGACCTGAGTTTATAATCCCAGGTTACCACTTACTGTATATGAGTTTTTGAGCAATTACTTGACCTCTCTAAGTCTCAGTTTCTTCATCTGTAAAATGGGGTTAGTGGTAGAGACCTCAGAGGGTAGTTGTGAGGATCAAATGGAATAATGTCCGTGAAGGACCTGGTATATAGAAAATGCTCAATAAATGTAGCTATTGTTAATATTGCTCTTGACCTTTCATAGGCCTTGAGACTCTTGAGAGGCATCAGTGGTGTGGGTGCACCACCACTCCCTTCTGGAGGTGAGGATATCATTCTGAACCCTGAGAGAAGTTAAACGCCTTGCTCCTCAGTGACCTGGAATGGACTTATGTATTGTGTCATTTAGCCTCCCTTCTTTATAAAACTGGATTTCTTTTAACCATATTTGAGAGGTGAAGGTGTTGGGTGAAGGTATATAATTAGAACAGAACCATTGTAAGCCAACTGCAGATGAGGTGTTCTAGACTCTCTGGGTACACTAGCTCAGTCTAACCAGTCAGCCTGTAATCTCGTGTGATGTTTGTACCTTCTCTTTTCCAGCTCTCCATGGCTGCTAGCCTGAATCGGCCAAATCGCTTAGCTCAGCGTCGCTATCCAACACAGCCATGATGAGAATACCCGCTCATTCCAGGCTCTTCTCCTGGGAGTACGACTTTTATGTTGCTCTCATTTTCTCAGTCTCCCAGTCTCCCTACCGTATGCTGGCCCACAAGAGGGTTGTGCTAGCCTGTTGCCACTGCTGAGTGCTTAGAAGGCAAGGATACGTGGTCTTCCAAGACACAGTTCAGTCCAGTCTCTTAAGATGAGCTTCAGAACTATGGGCATTATTTTGCCAAATGGAAGAGCTGGATATAATAGCAGACTGGAAGTATGCAGAATGCCATGGAGACAGCACTTAGGATGGTGGCTTGATATCCTCAGGAAAGCTAGAGCTCTAAGAATACCACTGCTGGAATCAACAATGACACCACTGTGCTCTGCAGCAGGGGTTGGGGGAGAGGCTCAGAGCAGTCTTCTGTATTAACATGGACTTCTGCCTCAGTCTTTGTTATAGACCAATTCATAGCTCTAGTCAGCAGAGTTTTTATACTGAAGCTTGATTATTGCTTCCTTTCATAATTCCCTCTTCAGTGACATTTCAGCAGTTTCCCTCCTGGTCCTAGTTTTGTGCACATTTTCTATGAGTTTCAGAATAATTATATTCTCTCACTTTCTTAGCTGGTCCTATTTTTTCACATTCTGGCATCTGGCTATCAAGTTAGATTGCTGCAGACATCATATTGTCATGGTAACTACTGAACCTAATGATGCAGATGGATGGAACATCAGTATAACAAATGATGGGAAATGCTTCCTAAAAATTCATCTCTTCCATACGAGGAGAAGAAGGAGTGCCTGATATTATTAATACCCCCATTCCTACCTCAGGCCTTTGGAAGTTGATGTTCTGAGGGTCACTGCAGCCAGAGGGAGGAGGGGGGCATCTTGGAAATTTCCATTTCTCCTTTCAAACCCAAAATAGGAATGACTCTTGCTGTTTGTCAGATTTGCTGAAAATTGCTCCTCACAGAGAACATTTTTGTATGTGTAATTGTACATACAGGTTTTGTACTTTAATGTACTATGGTTCTGATGTTGATAGCGATTAAACCCAGATAATTTTATAGCAAATGCTGTCTCTGACTGATTTTTGCAGAGAGAGAAAGTACATTTAGTGGTCTTTTCCCTGAAGCCTTTCTCATAATGGCTTTATTTTGTGATCAGGTGTGAATAGCTGGGAAGAGCTCTTTGTTAACAAAGAATCTAGAAGCTGATCCTCTTAACTTCCAAGTCTACTGTAATGTTTTTTTTTCGATTTAAGAAAATATGGACAAAAGCTTCTCTGATACAAGTTAGTTACTTCATTAACTAAATGTTACATATTTTGTTCCCTAAAAAGTTTATTCAGAGGTGTTTAGCACATCAAAGTCTTTTAGTAAGTGCTGTTCCCCTTTCTTCCCTTAAAAGGCTGTTGCTCCTTCAGTTTGGTATGCTGACACCCAGTGGCAGTACTGTGGCAGTAGTGTGTGAGTTTCACAGGAGCCAAACTGCCTAGACTTGAATCCTGGCTCATCCACTGCTCACCTTGTAACTTTGGGCAAGGTTACCTACCTGTCCTGTGCCTCAGTTTCCTTATTTATAAAATGGGCATGATAATAATAATAGTCCTTACCTCATAGGGACATTGCAAGAATTAAATGAGTCATGCTCTTAGAAAAGTACCTGGTACATGCTAAGCACTATGTAATGTTTTTATTATTAGTGTGTAATCTAATAAGTAAAATTGTATCTTTCTTTGTTGTCTATCAGATTTAACTGTGGAGTTTTCATTCTTGATATAGGTATATAAGGGGAATGTTACTTTTTAAAAATTTTATTGTGGGAAGTGTATATAACAAAACATTTGCCATTTCAAGCATTTTTATGTGTACAGTTCAGAGACATTATGTTCACCATGCTGTGTAATCATCAGGGAGCCACTATTATGCATTTCCAAATTTTTCTATCACCCTTAACAGAGACTCAGTACCCCTTAAGCAACGCCTCTCCATTTCCCAGTCTTACCCACCCACAATAACCATTAATAAACTTTAGTCTCTATGCATTTTCCCATTCTAGATATTTCATATAAGTGGGAATCATACAATATTTGTCCTTTTGTGTCTGAATTAATTACACTCAACATAATGTTTTCCAGGTTCATCCATGTTGTAGCATGTATCAGAACTTCATTTCTCTTTATGGCTGAATAGTATTCCGTTGTATGGCTATACTACATTTTGTTTATCCATTCTTCTGTTGATAGACACTTGGGGTATTTCCACCTTTTGGCTATTGTGAATAATGCTGCAGCGAATATTGCTGTACCAGTATCTGTTTGAGTTGCTGATTTTAATTCTTTTGGGTTCATATTTAAGAGTGGAATTGCTAGGTTGTATCGTAAGGTGATCCAACCAAATGCGGAAATTATCGCACAATATTGTTAATATCACACACAAGTAAAATTTTGCTGAAGATCATTCAAAAGCAGCTGCAGCAGTACATTGACAGGGAACTGCCAGAAATTCAGGCCAGATTCAGAAGAGGATGTGGAACCAGGGATATCATTGCTGATGTCAGATGGATCCTGGCTGAAAGCAGAGAATACCAGAAAGATGTTTACCTGTGTTTTATTGACTATGCAAAAGCATTCACCTCTGTGGATCATAACAAATTATGGATAACATTGCAAAGAACGGGAATTCCAGAACACTTAATTGTGTTCATGAGGAACCTGTACATAGATCAAGAGGCAATTGTTCGGACAGAACAAGGGAATACTGCATGGTTTAAAGTCAGGAAAGGTGTGTGTCAGGGTTGTACCCTTTCACATACCTATTCAATCTGTATGCTGAGCAAATAATCTGAGAAGCTGGACTATATGAAGAAGAACAGGCCAGCAGGATTGGAGGAACACTCATTAACAACCTGCATTATGCAGATGACAACCTTGCTTGCTGAAAGTGAAGAAGACTTGAAGCACTTACGGATGAGGATCAAAGACCCACAGCTTTCAGTATGGATTACACCTCAACATAAAGAAAACAAAATCCTCACAACTGGACCAATAAGCAACATCATGATAAACAGAGAAATGCTTAAAGTTGTCGAGGATTTCATTTTACTTGGATCCACAATCAACACCCACAGAAGCAGCAGTCAAGAAATCAAAAGACACATTGCATTGGGTAAATCTGCTGCAAAAGACCTCTTTAAAGTGTTGAAAAGCAAAGATGTCACCTTGAAGACTAAGGTGCACCTGACCCAAGCCATGGTATTTTCAGTCGCATCATATGCATGTGAAAGCTGGACAGTGAATAAGGAAGACCGAAGAAGAACTGATGCCTTTCAATTGTGGTATTGGCGAAGAATATTGAATATACCATGGACTGCCAAAAGAACGAGCAAATCTGTCTTGGAAGAAGTATAGCCAGCATGCTCTTTAGAGGCAAGGATGGCGAGGTTGTGTCTTACATACTTTGAACATATTGTCAGGAGGAATCAGTCCATGGAGAAGGGCATCAAGCTTGGTAAAGTACAGGGTCAGTAAAAAAGAGGAAGACCCTCAATGAGGTGGATTGACACAGTGACTACAACAATGGGCTCGAGCACAGCAATGGTTGTAAGCATGGCGCAAGACCGGGCAGTGTTTCGTTCTATAGTACATAGGGTCTCTATGAGTCGGAACCGACTCGACGGCACCTAACAACAACATGGTAATGCTGTTTAACTTTTTGAAGTTAACCATCATACTGTTTTCCACAGTGGCTGCACCATTTTACAATCCTACCAGCAATGGATAAGGATTCTAATTTGTACAAATCTTGGCCAACATTTGTTACTTTCTGTTTTTCTGATAATAGCCACACTTCCAACTCATTGCCGTCAAGTTGATTCCAGCTCATAGTGACCCTACAAGACAGAGTACAACTGTCTCACAGGGTTTCCAAGGCTGTAATCTTTACAGAAGCAGACTACTGCATCTTTCTCTGGTGGAGTGGCTGGTAGGTTCAAACTGCTGACCTTTCGGTTATCAGCCAAGCACATAACCACTGTGCCACCAGGCTCCTTAATAGCCATCCTAGTGGGGGCGAAGTGGTATCATATTGTGGGTTTGATTTGCATTTCAGTAATGACTAATGACCTTGAGCAACTTTTCATGTGCATATTGACCATTTGTATATCTTACCTGGTGAAATGTCTATTCAAGCCCTTTGTCCGTTTTGTGATTGGGTTGTCTTTTTGTTGTTGAGTTGTAGGAGTTCTTTACATATTCTGGATATTAAATTCTTGTCAGATATATGGTTCCCAAGTATTTCTCCCATTCTGTAGGTTGTCTGTTCACTTTGTTGATAAAGTCTTTTGATGCACAGAAGTTTTTAATTTTGATGGAGTCCAATTTATTTTTTTTGCTCTGTGCTTTTGGTATCATATCTAAGAATCCATTTTTGAAAACTAGGTCCCGAAGCATTATTCCTATGTTTTGTTCTAAGAGTTTTATGGTTTTAGTTCTTACATTTAGGTCTTTGATCCATTGTGAGCTAATTTTCGTATATGGCATGAGATAGGGTCTAACTTCATTCTTTTGCATGTGGAGATCCAGATGTCCCGTCACCATTATTGAAGAGGCTGTTCTTTCCCCATTGCTTGGACTTAGCACCTTTGTCAAAAATCAATTTGCCATAGATGTATGGCTTTGTTTCTAGAAACTTAATTCTATTCCATTGGTCTGTATGTCTATCCTGATACCAGAACCAGACTGTTTTGATTACTGTAGCTTTATGGCACATTTTGAGATAGGTGACATTGAGTCCTCCTAGTTTGTTCTTTTTTTTCAAGATTGCTTTGGCCATTTGGGGCTCCTTTCAGTTCCATATAAATTTGAAGACTGGCTTTTCCATTTCTGCAACGAAGGCTGTTGGAATTTTGATAGGGATTGCGTTGACTCCATAGATCACTTTGGGTAGTATTGACATCTTAACAATACTAAGTCTTTCAGTCCATGAACGCAAAATGCCTTTCCATTTATT